ATAATTCTTTTAATGTATTGTTGGATCTGGTTGGCTAGTATCTTGTTGAGGATTTTTGTGTCCATGTTCATTAGGGAAATTGGTCTGTAGTTCTGCTTTTTAGTGGGGTCTTTGTCTGGTTTTGGAATGAGTTTTAATTTTTAATTGAATGTTCATTTTATTTAATTTTGGTTAGCTTTAATTTAAATAGCCACATGTAGCTAAAGACTATCATATTGGACAGTGTGGTCTAGACCTTCTCTAGTCTGATGCTGACTGGCTCTAGGACTTGAGTGAGTGTTTAACCAGGACTCAAAGTTGGACATCTGGCCCCCACTGCAATCCCTTTTCCCCTCTAAGCTCAAACTGCATCTAGTGGCACCTTATCTTCTGCCTTCTCCTCAAAGCCACATTCTCTCAGCACCTCCACACCCTTCCACATCCCCCTCCCCAGTCCCGCCCATGACTCCCACTGATGATTAAAAAATCCATTGGGGTGTGTTGTGGCGCATAATGGCTTCTGGTCTCTCCTCTCCCTATAAGATTTATGCCTTAGGGCCTTAACCCACAGTGATGGCAGACTCCCTGGATATGTGGACACTGGAGGGGAAAAGGCAGAATCCCTCAGGGCCAGAGCTTTGGACATCCCTCACACGTGACCAGGGACCCACCCTTGTTCTGCTGTTTCAGGAACAGCCCCACACCCTTGGGATGCCTTGACTAAGCAACCCAAAGCCATGCCAAGGGCTGATTTCCCTGGTTTCAGGTCCAGCCGGAAGTCTGCATTGCCAAGGCCACCCTGGCTGGCCTCACACATGGGGTGCACTCCTGGTCTGAGAAACCTTGCATTCATGATGAGGAGCTGTGGGAGCAGAGAACCACAGGGGCAGGAAGCTCTAGTCCCAGTGCTGCTCTAAACTCTCTGGGTGGCCCCAGCGTGTTAACCCTCCCAGCAAACCTCTGCTTCCTCCTCTAAAGGCAGGAGGTCTGAAAGAATAAACAATGAAAGTTACATTAAAAACACAAAATCCTCCAGAAATACTGAAGAATGATTCTCAGCACTAAGGAAAAGCCTCCAACAGCCCCTGCTTCATGGGGGGGTGAAGAGTAGAAACTGTGTATAACTCGGTAGCATGTTATGATGGCAACGTTCTAGTGGTATCAATAGCTGCAATCACTAACATTTATTCACTGCCTTACGGTTTATTAAATATAATTCTATAAGGAGAAATTCCCCCTTTGTTTCTCAGAATAGCCTGGTTAGGAAGGTGGAAGAGGCAATATCTCCATTTTACAGATGAACTTCCTGACATTTAAGGGGCCGATGTGACTTGCACAGGGCCTTGTATCTAGTGAATGGTAAAACCAGGTCTGGGATGCAGGTTTATTGTCCAAAACTTTTATCAGTGAGAAGTCTTCTGGTGATGTGACCCTCCTTCCAACTTAATGCCAGCCAATAATAAACCTTGGATTCTTGTCAATACCCAGTCTCAGTTGGGGGAGACCACCCCAGATTCTAAGGCATAAGGTTTGCTTTGCTAGGCCTTTTTCTAGGCTTGTTTTGTCCTGCCAGAGCTATATTGTTGTTTGGTAGGCCCCTTGTGCTTTTGAAGAAGTTCCTATTAACTAAAAGAATGAGCAATACCATTAAGTAGCCAGCCCTATGTTTCTCGTTTCCTTGAATGGCCGTCAAGGCCAGGCAGCAAGCCTTCACTGAGAGTCTGGCCGCTTGGTCAGGACTCATGGTTTATACCTGTCCCTGACTCCCAGGCTCTTTGGAGCAACTGGTTTCTGGAATGTTCTTTCCCATCAAAGCCTGAGAATGTGACTTGTCAGTCCCACAGAGCCCTGCTCTTGCCCATCACTGACATCTGGACTCAGGCCTGGGTTTGGGCAGGAGGCAAACGGACATCTCCTAACCTGGGTTCTTTTGGCCCACAGCTATTCAGAACCCTGACCCTGCCGTGTACCAGCTGAAAAGCCCTGAATCCAGTAACATCTCTGTCTGCCTGTTCACTGATTTTGATTCGGAAGTCAATGTGAAACCATCCACAGAGTCCAACATGATTAGATTGAAAAGTACTTCACTGGACATGAAGACTATGGATTCCAAGAGCAACGGGGCCCTGGCCTGGAGCAACAGCTTTGATTTGGGATGCAACAGTACCTTCAACTACACCTTCCACTCCAGCTCAGGTGAGTCAGCCTTGGTGCCTGTGCAAGCTGAGTCTCTTCACTTTGAGAGGCCTGGTTATTCCCGGAGTTCAAGTGGAAGTCATCTAAAAGCTGCTCTGACTGGTGGTCTCAGCCTCATCGATGGTCAGTAAAGCCCTACCCTCTTGTCACTGAGCACCAGCGAGCTCCATCCTGGCAGGTCACAGGCTGTTGCAGGCAAAGAGCAGATGGGGAGAAGGTGGCAGGAAGGGCACTGGATTCTCACCTGCCCTGAGTTCCTGCCTCCTTGCCTCTGCTCGGGCTGTTTGCCCCTTTTGCTGCTCTTCAGGCTCCAGTCTAATGCCTTTCTCCAAGATACTACCCCTTGTTTCTGTCTCTCTGCCAAAGGTCAAACCTCACCCAGTCATTTATTCATTCAACATTGATTGTGCCTGTACAATATGCCAGGTGCTGGAATGGAGGAGTAAATAAGTCAGATGAGGGGTGTGCCATGAGGAAGCTCCATTTTAGTTGGGAGAGACCATCCATCAGCAAGCAGAAATCCAGACAGCTTCAGATTGTAATATGTGCTTTAACTTGGGAGTTGAGGAAACAGCCAACTTTGGAACAAAAAGTCAGGGAAGGGCTCTCTAGAGAAATGCCCTGTGAGATGATATTTAAAGGATAAGAAAAGACCAGCCGTTCCAAGGGCAAAGGAAGGATCCTATGCAGGCCTGAGGCGGGTGCACGGTGAGAAAAGGGGGAGAGCAGCAGGAAATGAGATGGAGGAAGTAGGGAAGGGTCACAACACAGGGCCTCCTAGGTCATGAGAGGACAGCCACCATTCTAAGTACAATGAGAAGCTATCGATTGGTTTTAAGCAGGAGAATGACATCCAATTTACTTTTTTTAAAAGAACACTCTGACTGCTGAGTGGAAAATGGATTGTAGGAACCAAGAGTGGAAGCAGAAAGGAGGCTATTGTAGCAGAGAGATGATGGAGGCCCAGACAGGGAGGCAGCAGGGGAACTGAGTGGCCAACACTATCTCAGATTTAAAGTTAGACCCAAGGAGGGGTGAGAAAGAAACAGGAGATCAAGGAAGGCAGTTAGATTGTATGCCCAAGCAGTTGAGTCAGTGACAGAGCCATTTACTGAGATGGTGACAACAAAGGAACAAATTTAGAGTGCAGGGATCCAAACTTTGTGGGACACATGAAAACATCCACACTCCTTATAGCACTTGTCACTGTGTATGTCTTACTGCCTCTTTTCAGACACCAGACTGGAACTTACCCAAGGGCAGGGTCTGTGTCTGATGGCTCCTTGTGGCCTTGTGTGTCGTGTAATGTGTACTTTGCACGACCAGTGTTTGTTATGTGAATGGAGTGGTACCCACAAGCTACGGTGTTGATCCCACCAATGCCAGGGGCTCTCCTAGCAGGTGCCCATATGCAACAAGTTCCCTCCAGACATTTCCATGAGAGAATGTGGAAAGCCTATAGACAGACATTCATCTGCCCAAATCCAAGGTCTGGGGTGGGAAAGTCAGCACACTCAACTCTAAGAAAATTTCTTTGTTTCTCCTTTTAGAATTTCCCTGTGATGCCAATGTGGTAGAGAAAGGCTTTGAAACAGGTAAAAGAGGGGTCTATCCTGGCTTGAAATGCGTCCATAATCACCCTGACTAGATAGGAGAGTTGGGAAGGAATATGTGGATCTAGAATGAAGTTAGGAGGAACAGGAACATTCTGGAATACCCAGGCTCCTCTCACCATCTCTAACGTTCTTTTCCCCTCTAAGTACCTTCAGTATGAGTCTCTAGTTTTACTAGACCCATGACTCACTCCTAGGCCTCTGTATTCCTTTCCCTTGCTCCACTGTCAGGAGAACCAAAGAGAGTTTCTCAGTGGCCCACCTATGATATTTCCCACTGGCTTACACAAAGGCCTGAACTAATCAGGTTACCCTAAGAACATTTTCTCTCTGTCTGCTTCCTTTTGAGAAAAGCAGCAGAACTCACACAGCAGTAGTCTTATCTCTCAGGATCCTCACCTCTCCTCACTACCTACCCTGGACCCATCCATTTCCATCTGAGCCGTTTTCATTGAATGGTCCCTCTTGGGGTCCAGACACCAGCTTCTCACTCAGGGCCCAAGATCTAAGGGATTACAGTGAGTTCTGAGCACCACCCCATCCCCACTCCTGAGAGATGCAGAAATAAAATAAATACTGAGCGCAGTTGGTGTTTTCCTTTTGAAAGGGAATCCTCTTAACCCTGGAGGAATGTACAAATATGCTTAGGAGGGGATGTGTTCCCAAGTTCAAAGGGAGAGGTGGGCTAGGAGCTGAGGCTTTGGGGGAAATCATGGGTAGGTCATAGGGGCTGTGTGGACACATCGGATGTACATGCTAATAATCTCTTGGTTTTGCAGATATGAACCTAAATTCCCACAACCTGACAGTGATCATGCTCCGCATCATCTTCCTGAAGGTGGTTGGCTTTAACCTGCTCATGACGCTGAGGCTGTGGTCCAGCTGAGGTGAGCAGGCATCTCCTGTGAGAATGTGGGCCGTGAGGGTCTTAGGGTGGGTCCCCAAGGTCAGAAAGCAAACCTCCCCCCAGGGTCTTGCTTTTAGGTCCTAAGGCTGGGCACACTGAACTCTTCTACTTTTTCCTGTTAGGGGTCCCTGTTGTTAATCACAATGGCCTGGATCACTGGTATAACACAGTACACTCCTCAGGTGACAACAGTTACCTCAGTTGAGCCTTGTCTCTCCCGTGAATCACGAAGAATGGCTGTTATTGTCCTCACTTTGGAAAGAAGAAGTTGAGGCCAAGCAACATCAAGGGCCACCCACTAATTAGAGTCATCTCCTCCACCCCCAATATGGTGGGAAGATATTATATTCCTAATACATCCTAATCCTGGCTAGCGTCTCCATACCCTTCTCTCCCAGTATCCCTGGTCATCCTACTGACAAGTGCATCCTGTTCCACCACCAGCAAAAAGAACTCCAGAGTCCATTAGAACTCTGCACATAGAAGCATCTCCATCACATCCCTAACTGTCTTGAGTCTGTCTCCTCAGTACCTAGCCTGACTTCTGCTCTTCCCTATCCCAGGTCGCCAAGAATGTGAGAGCCCAGCGCTCCCCTGCTCCTCCCACACCTTCTCCCCCTCTTCAAGAAGAGAGGCACACTCTCTGCCCCCATGGAGAATAAGGTTCCCTCCACCTCTCTGGTCCCACTGGCAACGCCACTGACCGAACCCTAGCAGACATTTGTGATCAAGATGCTGAAGAGCTGCCAAACACCGCTGCCACACCCTCTGTCCCCTCATCGCTGCTTGTCACTGCCTGACACTCCCAGCAAAGGAGCTGCTGCTGTGGCCTCACCTGGCTGGGGAGAAACTCCCCGACCTTCCCCTGAGACTGCCCATATGTCCCCTGGATGAGGGATCCCCAGTGGGTCCTCTCGGGCTCTAGCTCCTGGAGAATGTTGTGAGGAGTTTATATATTTTAAATTATGTTCATAAAGGAATAACACATCACACTTGTCCCCAAGATGTGAGGAAAATTATTATCTAGGCCCTGCTGTGCTGTGTATCTGAGCCACATTGTATATTCTGCTACCCATGACTTCATTAAAGGCGATTGAAAGAGCAGAGACTGTGTTTCTGTTTGACTGGGTTTGGTCAGGGTCACTTTCGGCTTGCTCTTGATCACTGGCTGGGCAGAAAGAAACCAAGGCGTTCGTCCTAATGTCATTCAGAAAGCCTAACTCAACAAGTTGCTTAAGTCAACCTCTTCCTGGAACAACCTCTTAAAAATTCCACTTAGAAGGCTGTGCTGGGGGCCAGGCAAACCCACTTAAAAGTTTAGGTCCCTGCTCTTCCGTTTTCAGGCCACACCACTGGGCCACCCATAGCAGGAGGCCCGCGTCCATGACTGGTAATGACTGGCAGTTGAAATTTGGCAGACGGGGACCACACAGCGAGTATCCCCAAAATGCCACCCACTGTCTCCTGCCTTCCGGGAACATTTCCTTTGCCTTTCCTTTCAGACTCAATTCCCACTGAAACGGTGCATTGCCCCCACAAATTCATGGCTGGGGACCACCCACCACTTGAATGCCTGGGGCCCAACCCAATGCCCCAACTTTGGGGTGCCCAGTCTAAGAGCAGGGGAAAGGGGTGAAGATTAGCCAGACTTTCTACCCACCCCCCAAGCCCGGATGTTAGAAATGGGTCCTCTCCCCTCAAGCCCAGGGACTCTGCCAAGGAGAGTGGATGTCTCAAGCGCTCACCTACAGGACAGAAGGTAGGGTTCCCTGGGGCCCCTGGGATTCTTCTGAGTCTTCTGCTACCTGAGTGCCTTTCCTGGGGTCATGGACACTTATGGGAACATCCCTCAGAGATTCGGCCATCCTCCTCACAATTACTGATGTCAAGCCCAGTGCTTACCAATTCCCAGGGGTAAGAGAGGGACCTATCCCCAGACACCTCTATGGTTCACCCATGTGTCTCTGGCCACACCAACCATTAATATACAAATCCTTCCAAGCTACAATTCAGGCCTGCTTCTTATCACAGGGATAGAGCCACCAGTTCAAGAAGTGATTTAGGCATGTCCCTCTCCTCCATGAGCCCCAGGATCACCACCTATAAAATGTCATTTAGGACTGGAAGGCTGCCTGGAAGGAAGATGCATGGAAACTCCATGCATCTCTGATTCTGTGGCCTCCATTCAGAACTAAGAACCATTGCCAATCTCCTGGCTAGCTTTACTGAGGATAGTCACAGAATCCTCAGTTCTCTCGGAACCCCCTCATCTGCAGCCTGAATACAAGTCCCTTTAAAGATCATTGGAGGGAACATCGGCCGAGGAAATCTCATTCTGGCGGATCACTGTCACACATAGGACAGAGGCCACCTTCCCAAAAGTGAGATTCTGCCACCTGTGGGGAACTGAAAACTGCCTCCCCATGAATCTGACACAATGCCAGAGATCCCACCACTGGGAATTTCTTTTAATTAAAGGATTCTCCTCTCCATATTAAATGCAAATGCCCCTGGGAGGGTTAACAGAGCAGGACTTTATCAACCGTTAAAAACCTAAGGCAAATTCGTTTATTTTTTTTGCTCCCCTAAAGTAGTAATTCACTTTGGTCTGTATGCAAAAGACCCAGGCACAAGATGTGTGGGTGGCTGGAGAAGCAGCTCTGCTCCTGAGAGCTGGCGGCAAAGATGCTGAGGCTAAAGGAGACACAGGGGCTTCAGGGCAGGGGACCGGACAGAGAGACCCCTCCAAGAACCTGGGAGGAAGCCCAGAGTGAAGGAGGCCAAGGAAGCCTGTGGAGTCATGCCAGCCCTGGGCCCTCATCTGTCAGGGCTCTGAAGTCATGGACCCCTAAGGCCACCCAAGGACCTATGAGGTGATGGGCAGTGGCTAGGGATCCACTGAGACCCACAGAGAGAGCAGGGGCTCCTGGTTCCAGGCCCAGCCCAAGCCAAGGGTGACAACACCTCGGGCAGGTAGGAAGCCATCTGGAAAGCAGAGACATTTCTATCCCAAACCAGCGCTCCTCGATCCCAACAAGAACCCTCCCCCAAGTCTAAGGTGGTTACACCTAAAGCCACCTAGAGCCAAGTCAGGGGGCAGACCAGGAGCAAGCGGGTGTGCTGAGGGAGTGGTGCAGAGACCATGCTCATCTTTATTCACTCTGCCCTTATGTCTGGCTGCAGGGCCCATCAAGGGTGTCAGAGGGAATTAAAGTAGGCTTATGAGGTGGCCCAGATACAGGGTTCCTGTGCCCACTGGGAGGGTCAGTGCTGGGCCTAGGGTCACTGCAGCAGAGCCCCTCAGTGCAGTAAAGGACCAGGTGTTGCTCAGCCTGGAAGGAAGAGGCTGCCGAGGAAACCTAGAGACACAGTCATTACATCCATAGCAAGGCCCAGCCCTGAAGAGCCCCAGGCCCATGAACAGGGACCAGCCTCAAGGAGAGGAGGCCACTGTCCATCCCACTAGGGAATATGTCACCAAGGCCAGTTGTGGAATGGATTCATCTGGACAGACACCCTCCTGCCCTGAAGGCAGAAGAATGAACCAAATGACTTCTCAACCCCAGGCCTAAGATCCTAGAGAATTCTCTGACCCAGAGACCTACCCCTGAGTGTAAAACTGGAATCACTGTCCTGTCAGGAGAAGGGCAGGCTACACAAGCATGCACTTCAGGAACACCCTGAAGTGGGGTCTTCAGCTCCAACAGAGGGACCCTCTGCCATGACCCACTGGCTGCTGGAGAAGCAGCCAACTGAGTCTTCAAGGATTATTCATCTTCTTGCTTTACCCATTAAAATCCAACCCCTCTGGGTCACCTGGGAAGCCTTAACAGGTATCACCTTAGTTATCAGGTAACATCTTGGCAAGAAAGTCCACTCAACTATGCACTCCTCAGGATGGGAAGTGTACCTTGTTCATCTGTGTGTCCGCAACACCTAGCACGGTTTCTGGCACACGACAGACCCTTAATATACACACAACTAGCAAATGGACAAATAAATAATTAGTGCCGTTTGGCATTGGGAGGGAAACCAAGTTGGTGGGGGAAGTGAGAGGAGCATAAGAGAAAGGGAAATGGAGATTAATAGAGGAGTTGGCCAGGTGAGCCACTATTTCACAGTTTTGCCAAGAGCTGAGAGTAACCTGTCAAGAACTATCAGGAAAAGCAAAACCTGAGTGATGGTCCATTGGCCAGTGAAGCCCCCAAGCAGGCAATCATCCAATAGTCTGGAGGGTGTTACTCTGGGAGAACACACAGGGAGCAGGGTAGGCAGAACCCCCGACACAGCCCAACCATTGTAAGGTCTGGGCCAGAAGGTCACATGACTGTTCCACCTCACTTTCCCCACGTGGCCTATCTTAAAACCACTTCTCCAGTCTACCTCCCTGGAGCAATGTGTGGGACAAAGGGCTCCTGACTGAGGACAGACCTGCAGGGAGTAAGCCAGGTAGGGACCCCGTGCTGTCATTCTGTTAATAAGTGCGCTGACTGGTGAGAAGCCTGCAGGACCACCTGAGCCCTGCCTTTGTATAAGGCCACCTGGTTTCCAGACCTCATTTCACCCAGACACACACATGTATAAGGTTTCCTCTGAGGATCACGCCGGAGAGCTATATTTTGAAATTAATAAACAGGTCAGACACTGAGTCAGTAGCCAGAAGTAGGACAGGAAGTGGAAAAAGTCTCCCACTTCCCTGCAGGTGTTTGGGGGCTAAGGGCCTCCCCTCCCCATTTCCATGACGTCATGGTTGCCGAGAGGGCAAATGGGGCACCCTTTGAAGCTCTCCCGCAAAAGCCACATCCTCTGCAAACAGGAGTTAAAAATACTGAGTGCGAGATAGCATCGCCCCAGGCCACGTGCCGGGGCCAGGCTGGCTGGGCCGTTATACCGCCACCAACCGCAGGTGCGACAGGAGGACGGAGAGCTGGGAGGGGCGCGGAGCAGGGAGGGGACGGGGCGGGGGGAGGGCTGCTGGCGGGCAGCAGGCCGGGGAGGTGCTGCACACCTCTGCACACGTTGCAGAGAAGCCTCCCCCGCCCGCCTCTGCCCCTCCTCTGAACCAAGCACTAAGATCAAACCTTGACCACACCTGATTAAACATTTGCTTAATACAGGGCAGGCCCTCAAGGCTTACGTCCAGCCCACCCTCCCTGGAGCCACATCTGGCCCCACACACAGCTGGAGCTGGTTGGTTCTCGGAAGACCTTTACTCCAGGCCGAGGCTGAAGTGCTGGGTGATGGCCCTGATGGACATCTGCCTCTCGGAGACCAACAGCCCAGGATGCAGGAGACCAATAGGCAAGGAGCCTCAGAACTAAGACCAGAAACCGAGACGCAACGCAGGGCTTGGACGTCCCGCTCGGTGGTAGTGTCCCCCGCCGCCCACCTGGGGGCAGCAGCGCTCCACCAAAAAAGGCCTCTTTCCCTTAGTCTGCTTATTCTGAGGAAGGGAAGCCCCCCAAAACTTAGGAAAACCTCCTTCAGAAGAAAATAAAAGGGCAGGTGACTTTCATTCCGTGAACGGAGCCCCTGATCATTGCCAGTCGCTGCACGGGGCTCCAGAGCTTTTGTGATCCTATCATCTCCCCGTAGAGGGAAGTGGGTCCTGGGTCAGGCCCCGCAAGCGGCAGGGGGCACTACCTGCCCAGGACCATCAGGCTCGCTCACTCACGCTCAGGCAGAGCGCTAAAGGGGAGCCTAGGGGGAGGAGCTAAGGGGAGCCTTAGGAGATTCAGAACTGGCGTTAGGGTCCACCTTCACCCTGGCCTGGTGCCCGGATCAGCAAATGCCCAGAGCCTCAGTTTCCCAGTGAGATCAGTGCTCTCTCACAGGGTAGTTTAAGAACCAACGCCTTCTTTCACATTGCTTTCCTGCCACGTGCCGGACCCTGTGCCAGGCTCTGGGCGTTGTTTCTGTACAACTGCATGACTCCACACAGATGAAGTCCAAGAATGGGCAAAAACAATCACCAGTGACAGAAATGAGAACAGTGGATGCCTCTGAGGTAGAAGGATTGACTGGGAAAGGTCATGAGGGAAGTTTCTGGGTGGTGAAAGCTATCTGTATCTTGATCTGGGTGATGGTTACATGGATGTGTACAT